TACTTGATTGCGATAATCAATCACAGGGTCTTTTTGAAGAAATGTAACTTTTTTTTGAAAAAAAAAGTACTGAAAAAAAAAAACTTGACTGTAATGGAATTTTTTTTTTAAAAAAAATACTCACTTGCGGAAAATATAACAGCAAACTGAAAAATAGATGCTCAGTTAGAAAGAAGAATCCCAAAAATGAAAAATAAAATGGCTCGCAAAACGGAGAAGTAAGTGTATAATCATCGGCAAACAATTCTAGAAAATCCAACTAATCTAGTATATATATAACGAACAAACTTAATTCTTTAGTCAATGGATCTGTATTTAGAGTCAAGGTATGTAACTGGGAAAAATGTATAAATACATATCCCCTTTTAATACTTTTTTTTTTTAATATCTTCCCTTCTAATCCTAATAGTCAACTTCAAGACACAATAGGAATCGATTGAACAAAAAAAACACACACACAATAAGAACATCTCATCGGCATAAATCAAAGCATATGATGATGGGCTATAATTCATAAAATAATAATAAAGAAGATCCAAACGGCCCGAACAGAAACGTGGGTTGGACCCACGGATCTTTAAAATATCGAAAACGTTTTATCAGAATCACCGTTCGTCGTCACCTTCCCAACTAAAAAACAGAGATTTACGTTAACGTTCTTCAGATTTGTTCCTCTCTTCTCAAATCGATTCCTTTGGATCAATTTCTCCCTTTTTCAGATTATTCTATTTCTCCTACTAATGACTTTGCAGAAATTCAACATTTTCCAGGTTTTCCTCTGATCCCAACCCAAAACAAAAGCTATGAAGTTCATACAGAGAACTCTAATTTCACAATCCTGTTGACGAGCAAATTTCAAAATTCCTGTTTCCATGCTCATTTTCCACTCAAATCTCACTATGATTCCTTTCTAATTTCTCGAATCCACCTGGGTTTTCTCAGATTTTGCGTTTTCTATCCATGGAACCACCATTGCCGAGTTTGAGTCTACTTCTTTTGTGCTTCGTCTTCTTCATCTCTGCTTCTATCTTAGTTGACTCACAATCACACGATTCATCCATTTCTCCTCCACCTCCTCCACCTCCTCCGCCGCCGCCGCCTCAACCCTTAACTCCACCGCCACCTCCGGTAAGGGTCCAGAGTAACAAGACGATTCACGAGAAGCATCACCGAAGAAAAAAATGGAGACAGAGAAGGAACCAAAATCATCAACGGCCACGGAAGCAGAAGCTGAACAAAGGAAAGACGGTGGGGTTTTTCTTCGCCGGTGTAGCGGCAGCTTTGCAAGTAGTTGTTGCTGCTTTCTTGCTTCTCAAAAGAAGACAGCTTCTTGTCAAGATCAATGATAATATACACTGAGTCAGTTAAAACCTTACAGCTACACAAATAGAGATTCGAAAGCTCATTAGGCCATCTTCTTCTTGCGATCTGGATCTTGTCACAGTAATCGACATTTTCGAAAGAGCATTTGCGGATCTTTTCAGTTGGAGTTAAGTCATCTCAATTTTGGTCATCTTTTTATCTGTAAAGTTAGTCTTTTTGACAACCTCTACGATGGAATTACACACGTATAATTGTTGTTTTTGATCTGATTAATCAAAATGTTCTGATGAAGTTTCAGTTTGCTGCTTAGAATCTTCTGGTCTCAATCTGGAACCAGTCTTTGTTTGTTAATTATGTTAATGAAAATTCATAGATTCTCGAGTTTGATGATACATTTAGAAAAATTCTGTCAGAAAAAAAACAAGAACTTTTTTTTTGTGTTTTTGATTCCCCAGTGAGATAGATCTAAGTTAGCAAGAGACTGAAGGAGGATTGTACGCATCATGTCTCCTTTTTGTATGGTGCTTTAGGGTTAATGTCATACATATCGTGTAGAATAATTGCAGTGGACGGACCTAAAACTTATGGATTTGGGACCACTGAAACCCATGTGAGAGTCTGGTCCTAAAAGTTAGCATAATCTTTGTTTTGTTTTTTCCAAGTTTCACTGCTGGAAGTTTTCACAAGGGTCAATGCTTAGATTTAGTTTTAGCAAATGATATGAACGGTGAGACCAACTCAGGATCTTTAATTGAAAAAACTCACATACAATGTAATAATGTTGACAGGTTTGGAAGAATTACAAGGAAAACAAAAACAGAGAAGACAAGAATCCATCAAAGAGAGAAAGAAAAAAAAAACAGGCGTTGTTGTTTTAGTCAAGGAGGCACAAGTCTTTTTTTTAGCCAGTTCCTCCAAGAACACCCTTAAGCTTCTTGACTGTAGCAGGGTCAAGGAAAGTAGTACCCACAACGAGGTCAGTGGGAAGATTGTTAGCAAAGAGTGCGAAATCGAGAATCTGCAAACCAGGATTAGCACTGTTGAAAGTGACAACAGCTGCAGCAGCGGATTTTCCGGCATTGATCTGGAAATGAAGCAAGCCCTGAGGGAAAACCATGACCTGTCCTGGTTTAAGCGTCTGCACGTAGACAGAGTTCGCAGAGGAGACAAACCCAGCGGTAATGGAGCCTTCAAGGACAAAGAGAACCTCAGAGGCAGCAGGATGAGTGTGCATTGGGATGACACCTTTAGGAGCTAGGTCAAGTCTAGCTGTAGAGAGGCCTAGACCGTTCAGACCAGGGAACTGAGCAACGAAACCGGCCGTGACTGCAGCGTTAATGATGTTTGTGGTGTTACCAGGAGTGCCTAAGCCGGAGAAGACAAAGTCCTTAGCTTTGACATGAATGGGACGAATGCAAGGGTAACCAGCAGGTGTTTCAGCCTTTTTCAGGTTCGCGACACAGAAGTCTTGAACAGAGGCATTGGATAGAGCAAAAAGGAGAGATAAGAGGAAGATGATGCGCAACATTTTGATTGATATGGTTTAAGTAACTGTGTATTAACTTCTTTTTTTTCTACTCTATTCCTATCTCTTCTCCTCAGTGCTTATATAGAGAAACTTGTGGATAAACTGTGTGGTGAACATTCGAAAGACTGGAGATAAGCTTTTGGAAACCATTATGGACGTCTGAAAACAAGGACCACTCTTAGATACAAACAAAATGCCTCTTTTCTTTGCCTGCCTGTTATGCATCATTGGATCACTGGTGATCTTAATGATGATGTAGACACTGATATTTATTATTGGCTACGAAGATTTAGGGTTGTTGGTAAAGTAGTAGCCGGTGGATTCGGATCGCAGTATGGAGAATTTTGAGAAGAACAGAGAGTGGACAAAAAAGAAAAGTGACCGATTGATGACAACAAGGTCAAGTTTCTTCTTGCAAAATTAACTTGCGGCTCAAGTAAGTAGAAGAGAGGAAATCACGTCAATAAGACACGGTAGTTGGAGTAATAATGAGTGAAGAGCCAAATTTTTTTGTCACAAGTTGGGTTAAGTTGACGTAGAAAATACGAGGAGGAGATTTGGATACGTATGTGTTGTAATGTAGTGTGGACCAGAGGCACATGTGACGAACCATTAAAAGACACTAATTGACAGCCAGAAGAAGCTTAAGAAAGATTCTTATAGAGACCCCTTCTATTTTTGACATATTCAACTAACAATGTGTGGAGTAAAACTAAAACGTACAACAATGATATCTTTCTATGTTAAAGCATCCTGTGATGCATTGACAATATTCATGGGCTGAAGTGCTGAACAATAGGCATTGTCCCGAAAATATAACAAATAGGTTTTGGATCATAAGTGACGTTTTCGCAGGAAAAATTGTTTAAGTTTAGGAAACTCTATTAGGATTTACTTTCTTTGCTGTTTCATCTCTTACTCGTTTTTGCTTACAAATTTCAAAATAAGATATGTATTTGTTCAATACCAAAAGTTTTTTTTTTTGGTGAACCGATTCATTAGTTATACAGTTACAAAATAGTTAAAACCATTCTAGAAAAGAAAAGTGCACACACTGACACGGCGACTGTGATAATGTCAGGTTAGGTGTCGAAAGATGATAACATGCATTTTGCCACACGTTATGTAACTTACCAAATGAAAGCAGTAAACAATTAGATTACTCAAGAAATTATGTACCGGAGTAAACCGGGCCATACCGAAACAGATTTGAAAAAGGCTCTGTTTTTCTAATTTTAAAACATAACCAATTCTCTCTGACAGAGACACACACATGCAACACCACTCGACGCCATAATTCAAGAATAATCAGCCCACTCTAATGGCGTCCATGAAACACATTGTTCATCTTCTCCGTCGCTACATTTCCATAGCAATAACTCTCTTCCACAGCCTCATTTTGTGTATATTCGATAATTTCGATTACCCAATCCTGATCAAGCTCGCCGATGCCTTGTTATCTTTATATTTCATAATTTTCTGCGATCTCCGCCCAATCACCGTCGATTTAATCGACGGAGAAACCACCGTACATTTCTGGGTCTCCGGCCACCGCAGAATCAGCCGGCCGAACCTCGTCATGCTACACGGCTACGGAGGAAATTCGAAATGGCAGTTTATCCATCAGGTCTCGGATCTATCGAGATCGTTCAATCTCTTCATCCCCGATCTCGTTTTCTTCGGGAAATCGTACTCGAGAAACACCGACCGGAGCGTCGAGTTTCAGGCGAGGAGCATCGTCGGAGGTTTGAAGAGGCTGGGTTGCGACGGAGGCTTGGCGGTTTACTCGATTAGTTACGGAGGATTCGTCGCGTACCGGATCGCTAAGATCTGGCCGGAGATGATCGGTAAATTGGTGATCGTGAGCAGTGGAGTCGGGTTCACGGCACGCAACAGCAGAAGATGACGGAGATGAAAAAACACGGCGGAGATGTATCGGAGATTCTTGTTCCGAGAAATCCGATCGATCTCCGGCTGTTAGTTAGGGTTTCCATGAATACCGGTCTCGCGTTCCTTGACTGGATTCCAGATTATATCCTCTCCCAATTCATCACTGTATAAGTTCTGTTTTTCGTTTTTTCTGTTTAGGTTTCTTTAATTTACTGATTCTGCCCCGCAACTTATCTATTGTTCAAAACGTAACCCTAGATGTTATAAAATTGCAGAATCAGCCCTAAAGTTTCAATATTTCAGGTGATGTATGAGACAAATCGGCAGCAGCTTGTTGAGCTAGCCAAGAATTTGCTGGAAAGAGAAGAAGAGCCAGAGTTCTTTGCAATATCACAGGTCATTGGTATTCATTGATCAGTTATTTTTTTTCTTATCCATTAAAACAGTAAAATATTGTAACCTTTATGTATTTGGTATTTAAAAAATATTCAGGAAACGTTAATCGTTTGGGGTGATAAGGATAATGTCTTTCCCTTGGAGCATGGGCGTCGTCTACAAAGGTAAAATAATAATGATAATTACAAAGATTCTTTAACAGATTCTGTTGCAGAAATCTCTCTGTTTTTATATTAAATGATCATGTGTCATTTTGTTTTTTGTGAACATTGAAGCACCAAGTACTCTTAATAATTTAATTACCTCGTTTATTTTAGGTGTTTATTGACTTATATTTCTGTGTAATTTTTAACTAATAGCAAATTTATATATAACTGTATGTTCCGAGAAAACTCGCAATAATAATAGTAATTTAATGTATTTTGAACAGCTCAAAAATACCAGTCAAATCATTATATTTACATTAACATGTCTCGCTTCATTATATTGTATACAAATCTGGAGACGTAGGCAAAAATGGCCAAACTTCCAAAATGATGTTATTTCCTAACACTGACCTTATCATCAATAGACATACTGTATATATGATCGAAAAACTACTATGTGCCATTTTTGAGCAGTTCAATCTTTATTTTTGTTTAAAAGTATTTCAAGAAAAGAAACAATGCAGAAGAATAAGAATTGAGAAACCAGAAAAAATAATCAGAAGACAATACTTTCTCGTAGGCCTTTAGAGACTATGATTTTTGGAGGCTTTTTGGTGGAGGCTTTTTGGTGGAGGCTTTTACAGACAATGAGAGCGCTTTGAGAAAGAATGCAGCAACAGATCAATTTAACTTCACTAACAGATCAATTTAACTTCACTATACTTTTTCGAGTCTAATTCATATACTTGTTGCTGCTTATATAAACGAGGAAGAATATGATCAGTCCAACCGTTGAAGCTGAGCTCCATAAAATTTTCTAACGTGGAGTTGGATTAGCTGCAAGTATAAACATAGTTTTCATATTTGTTTCAATTTCTGGATTTCTGGATTTGAATCAAACTCTAGGAATCACTTAGAGCATCATCAATGGAGAGACGTATGTGTGTCTCTTATAATTTTTTTTAATATTAAATTTGGATAGAAATCCTAGGTGGCAACAAAAGACGTTTCTTGTTGTCCTTAAATAAGAAATGTTTTTCAACCAAAGTTTCTTCTTTTCAATATATTTAATCATAAATATTAATAAGAGACAGAGGAAGAGACCAGCGTTAATGATGGTCTTAGTGATCGCCATGAGATCATGATTTAGAGTTACAGTTTGTAATCAGTATTCGTTTACTTTCAAGAAAGGAGAGTATTGATTCAGATTCAGAACACAACTCACATATTATAGAAGCACACAGCTTCCGTTTTGGAAACTTATTATAAGATTATGATCAAATCTTTATGAACCATAAACACTACTCAGTTAGAAACACACAGCTTCCGTTTTGGAAGAAACACTTGCATCTGCCTAAGAAAACTAAGTATTCTTGTTTTTCTTTTGGCAATTCTAAAATAATATTCTCGCGGTTTGCAATAAATTTGAAAGGAAACTCCTCATAGTGCTTGTTTAGTCATAGTGCTCTGTATTAAGCTCGGTCTCAGTTGGTATATACAGCGTAGGGGTGGTGTTCCTTTCAAATCGATTTGAATCATTTTGAAAAGTGCCTTAATCCTCTCAAACACATAAAACTCAATCTCCCAATGATGAGAGATTTGAATGCTACATGAATGAACACTCTTTTCCCTGCTAATTTTTTGCAAACTACTCAGGCCTATTGTGAAGCTAGTGTCAAAAGATAATTACTCAAAGAAAGAAAAACTTAGCAGCATAAATGATAGTTTCCACCACGTCAACGATTGTGATTATATAGCCATAAAGCCAGATACATCTTTTGCCTGTTTTCTCTCACAGTATTTGAATTCCTTAATTGATTTGTTCCAACTCTTGCCCTATCTTCCATATCTAATTTTCTTTTGGCTTTCTGATCTGGCACTTTTGTGCTACCACCCACGTTCATCAAGTAAACATCGTTATACATCGATGGAAAAATCTCAACAGAAATACATTAAACCACCAGCGCTGGCTTGTGACAAAGCTTTAACGTCTGAAATAAGTTATATTGTATTGACAAATTAAACCATGATTCCATATCGCTGGCGTTTGGTTGCAAAATCATCTAAACAAGACGTGTGTTTTCCTAATAGGGAGAGTTTTTCCTTCCTTTTGCTTCTGTGCAACTTGATGAAATGTCTTGCAAACACGACAGTATATATATCCAAGAACTCTAGCGTGGCTACATCCTACATCCCGTGAGAAAAATTTCAGATAGGGAACCTATAAAAGGAGATGTAAACAATGCTACCAATCGCGGAAAGAGCAAGGTTTGGTTTAGTTTAGCCAGCCACCGTCGTCAGCTGCTCTACTGACCCATAATAGTTGAGAGGGTTGCCCAAAGGCAGTATATAGAGCATACCCTCGTTTTTTATTTTTGGAAGTAAAACGAAAGGTAAGATGATAAGATCGATGACATCGCAAAGTAACAGCTCGGCCACTTATACGCATACCCGCAAAAACATCACAGATGTTAAAAAGGAACAAAACTTGAGAACATCTTAACCTAGCTGCGATCAGAAGAACCATATTTTTTTGTTCAATCGACATGGTTTTCGGCCAAATATTTTTAGTTCAAGCCGAAACCGGATTTCATACGATGACTAGCTCGTTCTGAGATTTACAAAGCGGCAAGCAAAAAAAAAAATTATTTTACCATTTGAAGTTTAGTAGATAATTTTCTTAATATTGCCATTAGACCAAGAATATGTTTTGAAATTTTGGAAACCAAAATTATTTGATATAAATGACTAAATGAGGGCCACAGTCCATAAAGCATGGACTTATCCAACTTTAGCTCAGGGCCTGAACCTGACTAGAGTTCGTGTAAGAATTGACCATTTTCTCAAACATTTTCTCGAACTTTTAGGGTAGGGATGATACTCATAATAGTAGTATTGCAATGAACTTGTTGGTTCAGGATAAATTTTTTGTTCTTTCCGTAAATTGTACAAATCGTGTAATAATTACCTTCATTACTCATACTATCCGTTTAAATAATCAATTATTTTACAAAATTATATCTAAAATTTCGGCTAATCAAAATTATTCAGAATTACATTCATTTCTTAAATATCTAAATATGATGATATTTATCCAATCTAACAAAAGACTAGATATGGATTTTAATTACATGAACTTATCATACCAATTAATGATCCCACTCCTTTGTTTTAAAAGTAAAATTTTAAACATTACCAGACTACCCAATAGTCCAGTACAATGACCCAGTTATTTACCTGAAATAAACAGGTTTTTAAAAAAGGCACAAACAATAAAACAAATTTTACGGGTCGGGTCACAATTATCCGCTCCAGATGTCTGGCACTGGCCAGTGGCACACCTTTAACCTCCATAACTCTACAAAATTGAGATGCAGAGTAAGTACAGACATGCCCAAAAAGATCTTATTTTTCAAAAGGGTTAAAAAAACAGATAAGACCATTTATATATATATTCCTCTCCAAAATCTCTCTGTCTCAGACTGTTTGTCTACAGACGACAAGTAGATTCCTTTTTCTTTGCTTTCCCAGCATCCAATAATTGTCATATAATTTCTCGAGAATTAAGATTCTTGTTTAGTTCCCGAGAAAATAAATCTCGATTTCCTCTCTGCTATTATCTGTTCCCGGAGCTTGTTCTTTTCTGATTTGAAGGTAAAGGAAACCGGATTTGGAGGAAGAAAAAATCTTCCTTTTTTTTCTTCTTCTTCTTTCCTTGTTTGTGTATATAATCAAGCTTTTGAAAATCCTTGCTTTGCTTTAAGGAGTCATCTTTTGATGTTTCTGGGTCTTGAGTTTATAGACTTTACATGTTGCTATGAATCTTATGGAATCGGTTTTTTACTTTTGATGAGATTATCTCACTATTGGTGAAATATCTCTATTCTCTAGTCTAGGCTACTTATAGAACACCTATTACTTCTCTTTTTCTTTCCTGTCTTTATATATATATAAAGACAGGAAATTGAGGGTTCTGAGATTGATTTATACTTAAGAAAAATTAAAATTTTATTTCAGTTGGGATAATTTGTGAGATCAAGAGCTTATAGACAAGGTCAACGGAAAGAAGAATAACACACTATTAAATGTGAGTTTTCTTGCACTTACTTGTTAAAGCTATGCCTTGCCTGTAGATTTAATCCCGCTTTTGGTTGATCTCAGGAACAAGATCAATCAAGATTTGAGCTTGGTGGAATCAAGAATGGAAGGAGATGTGTTTTCTGGATTTGGAGAGAGATACCAGATGGACGGTAAATTATTGCAGAATTTCCAGAAGAGCTTTGTTCAAGTTCAGGACATTCTTGATCAGAACCGGCTTTTGATCAACGAGATCAATCAGAACCACGAGTCCAAACAAGCGGATCACTTGGGTCGAAATGTTGGTTTGATAAGAGAGCTCAACAACAATATCAGAACAGTGGCAAGTCTTTATGGAGATCTCTCTCATTCTTTCGCTAGATCGATAGATGCTTCATCAGAAGGGGAATCTACTGGGACCTTGAAATCTGATGGCAAGGCCAACAACCAAAAGAGATTTAGATCCGGGTAAAGATCGATCTTTGTTTCTGTAGATTCAGTGCTAATTTGAGTGTGGATTCAAGGAATGACAAGTTGTTGTTGTTGTTGAACAGAAAGACAATGATATTTGTGTAATGCTTGAGTGTGTCTTCACAAGAGTGTTGCTTCTGTAATTTCGGTTGAAATGATATCTACAATCTGTTCATGTCTTTGATTCTGAGATGATAAAAGAAGTTCCTCTTTTGTTGCTTTTGTGATCTCTGAAATCTAACTGATGCATTTAATTAGACTTTTGGATTAAAATTCTTTAGTCATCTTCATGCACTTCAAAAGGGTCCTCTCCTCAGAGATATGTGTAGAGCCTGTGAGTTCTTTGCTTCTAGAATTGTAAATCTTGTTTTTAGCTTAAGTGAAGTATGAAACTCAATTAAAATAAGAAAAAGGAGAATGAATTGATGAGTACTTAAATCTGATCTAACAAATTAAAAAGGGCTATAAAAGAGAATAATGGATGTTGATCCCTGTTGCCTTTGTGCTTGCATGATCCTTAAAGTCAAAAAGACAACAGAGACTTGTAGTTTTAACTTTAGTTAGGTACATTATTCCTCCTCCTCCTTTTTCTCCATTTTTACACAAGTTTCCAAGTTGTTTTGCAAAGACAAAGCTTCTTTTTCCTTACTTTTGGACAAGAGAATCCTGCCAACTTTTTCATGTATTGCACCTTTTTTGTTATATCAATTTCTAGCCTCACACCATCTATTTTCTGTTTACAAGATCCATTTTCCAATCAACTTACTTGTGGATATCTTTAAAAAATTACCAAAGTGAAGGGATGTATATAGTAGGGTCCCATGGTACCATACTCTTACAGAAAAGAGAAACAAATAATTTGATTAGTACGAAAAGAGAAAAAAAAAATACATTGAGACTCATATCAAATATGTTGGAATTTCTTTCTCTTCATCAACAGAAACATGTTCTAGATGTAGACGATGATGATCTATGTGATTGTTCTGTTCATCTCAAATCTAAAGCTTTACTTCTTTTCACTCTGTCTCTGCATCAGCTTCATCAACTGTCCTTCCCAGTCAGAGACAGCCTCCTCTCCATTTGAAACCTGACCCAATCAGAAGCTTCATCAGTAACAAATGGTTTTTTTTTTTATAGGAAGGAGCATCAACAAAACTGTTTATTGGTTTTTCCATATTTACCCTAGAAAAGAAAAGAATGTTATCTAACCTCAAATATCAACCCTGTTGGTGGAACCACGCTTAGAGCTTCGACACATATACGAGCAGCGTCTTCCTTGCTTATACTTCCTTTGGCTGCAGCACCCTGTTATATTCATTAAAATGTTGTTGAAACCAAAACGGTGAAGTTCAACATATGTTTTTGTTAATCATTTTTAAGATGACTTTACCACGCTAAAGTTGAAGCCTTGATTCCCTCCAGGACTGTCCTTTAGCTTGCCTGTTCTGATGATTGTATAAGGTACATTCGAAGATATAACAGCGTTTTCATCTCCCTCGGCCAGTTTTTTCGCTTTGTTATTCATCATAGCTTTAATCCCGCCGCTGCTTTCATAAACAGACAACTGCAACTTCATTAAACCATGATCTCACAGACACAAAACATGCCACAAAAAAGACAATTCCAACTTCCAAGCCTCACAAGATTACTAGTCCTCTTTAACTCATTGAGATGTATCCTTACCTGAGACAAGAGAACTGCGTGTTTCACACCTCTTAAACTCTTGACATTCGATAAGAAGCCTTCCTGCCAAGGGATGTTTTAGATCAGCGTAGAAGTCGATCAACGAATGATGAAGGATATAGTTCAAAACATACGGTTGGGGATATGATTGCACCAACGCCTTTAAAAGCTTTCCTTAAGAAACGGTCATCGCTCGCATCTCCAGACGTCAGCTTCACAATTTTCATTTAAGTTTTCTCACAAAATGATTTGTCAAAAAATTGAAGAGAAACAAACGGACAGAACCAAGAGTGTACTACATTCAGTGACCAAACCTCAACATAAGCTCCAAAAGCTTCTAAAGCCTTTCTTTTGTCCTTCACAAGTGCTTTAACCCGAGTCCCTTTCACAATCAGTTGCAGTATAATCATCTACATCAGCTAAAAATTAACACTTCTCAGTTTCATTTTTTATTATAACTTTCATTCTTGTTGCATCAAATCAAATGTATGATGTTACTGTCAATGCCTGAAACACACACCTGACCCAAATCACTGTCTCCATCGGTTACAAAAACAGTGTCTTTATCTCCATCACGATCATCTTCTTCTTCCTCTGTTTCATAGGTTCCAAATGAGACAGACAAATGCAGATACAAGTTTATATTTAAAGTCATGAAGATTCCCATTTAACTATTTTTGGTATATTTATTTTTATCATACGATTTTGTACCTTCAAATTCATCGTCATCTCCACTTGAAGTTCCATCCTTTGGCTCAAGTTTAGGTGCTCCATACCATTTCCTTAGCTTCGGACCGCCTTAAAACAAGAAAACACATACCAAACGAACAAAAGGTTTCAGCTTTTTATCATACTCAAATTCAAATTTCCATGAAACTGTAAACTGAAAGTGAAGAGAAATTTGAAAATACCTTCGATGTAATCGAGGATCTGATCAACGAAGCTGATTTTCTTCTTAGCCAAACAACGAACAATAGAGCGTTTCCCAGATGTAATCAGAATCCGAGATTTAGATTCTGAGACATGATTCGAAGAAGAGAATAGTAAAGAGGGTCCTTGACTGAGGAGAGATGAAGGAAGAGAAGTACCCGCCATGTCTGCAACTTCAAAGATAGATAAGAGCTCTCTTCCTCCTCACCTTACTACTGTAATCTCCAAGAGTTAACCCTCTAGACGAGAAAGAGGTTCTAGGATAATTATTAAAATATTTCCCCTATTTATTTATCCAGGATTGATAATTATCCGCCGTTGGATCGGATAAGATTAAAATCATTCTTTCTCTCTGTCTGCCAGGTGTCCAAAGTCCATACCTTTCATTTTGCAAAGCTTATCTCAACGTTATTTCGGTGATATGTGGTTTTTGATAAAGTATGAGACTTTCTTTATCGATTTCGCAGTTGATAATTGTTTGGTACTAGTTTTCTTCTCTATTCTCTTAATATTATCCATGAGTCTCTTTGGTTGATAAATTTTCTTTTCGTTTGATTCTAAATAGCTTGATCGAGTAATGATATTTTTGTTGTACCCTGTTCATTATTACTTGAAAGCCGTTATCGTTCTTGCTTTTGAGATTTTTGTTTTGATGAGAGAATCCTAATGCTTTAAACTGAAATAGAAAACCAACATATCACAAAGATAATCCATCAACCTTTTTTCATCAGACCAATTTCTCTCTCTCTCTTTATATTGTTGTTTACTTCTACTTCAAGGAAACCAGTAATTACATCTGATTTAAACTCCCTATGGTTTATTCTGTTTGCAAAAAAAAAGTTTGTTATGATGGTCTTTTCATGTTGCTTTGTATTCTTATAAGCATTGATCCCATATCTGCTCAATCCTTACACCAGATTTTAATGGTATGAAGAGGATCCAGAGACAATGCTTACATTAAAGTGGAGTTTAATAGTCTCTCTGAACTCTCTATGTCCAAGTTCTAGGGAGTTCGGAAGCTCCTTACATCATCGTTCACATATGTTTTACTTTTCCTTAAGAATCGTAGTTCTAATGGTTGATTTTTCTGTCTTGTCGCTTTTTCAAGACGAGCATTTTCATACGTTTAAGACGTTCTAATGGTTTAATGCTTAATTAGTGCATAGTTTGGATTGAATCAGGATTGTTTCTTAGCACGTTCAGTTGAGGCAATCGTACAATTAAGACCGGAACAAATTTTAAATTTCCTTTCTATCAAATTAAATATGATTCTTTTTTTTTTTGTCCAACATTAAAGATGATTCTAATATACAAAAAGTAAACATGATCCACATATAATTCGAGACGACCCTGAATTGAATCACATTGATGATAACTTGGTTGTCCTGGCATTTTGATTTACTCATCCAAACACATATAATGTTAAGTCCATAACGAGGTCGTCTCAGGGATCATTATTTAGCAACAAATATGTTTGTTCTCTTGGTTTACTTTGTACAGACTTTTTTTTGTTTTTGAAAAACAAAATATTCAGTGTATAAATGTCCAATATAAGCAAAAATAGCAGTTACTTAATCTTAGACTAAACCAAAAAATACTCACCGATGTTCCAATTAATTTGCATTGTAATCAGACGGCCTGCAATCCTAATGTAAATATATCAGACGACACGGTGTTCTTGTACACGTGACCCAAAACGGAACGTAGTTCATTCTGTTTTGGCATTATTCAACTATTTACTGACATGGCAATGTTTTAATGTCGGACCAAGCTTCTTCATTAACACACATAAGCTATATACGGATTCCAAACTGCTCAAAGATTTTGAGTTAATAAAAACGCTTTGGAGTCCGGACTTGTTATTCACTGGAAAAAGCCGAAAGCGAGCCAACTAAAAGCAGCACCAAAATTTCCCCAAATTTCTTTTTTGCCTTTCCGCTTCTCCTCTGAACAATTATTTTCCGATCAATCCAATGTTAGACACGAATTCGTCTCACCGGAAATTTTAATCGCTTTTTTGTTTGTTTGTCGCTGTAATTTATCACTCTCCGGCGACGAATTCGGTTTCCGGTGGTAAGCATTAAAATTTTCAACCTTTTGATTCTGTTCTTTCTTGATAAGCTTTTACTGTGTCTCTGTGTTGCATTCAAATTTGCGAAATCTTTGGAATTTCAAGACGTGGAGTTAAATTTTCAGTCTTGTAGTCTTTTCTTTCCTCTTCGAAGGCCTTATTTTTTTTTTTTCTTGTTAAAGATAGATACTTTATCTCTGAAGTTTGAGGAAGAGACTCTTCTGGTGCTGCTTTGTTTGAATGAGAATCCGTTTTGGTTTGAAATTGGACAAAGATGTTGTCAATTTGTAAATATAGGGGGATGCAAATAGTGATCTGTTTGGAAAAGATTTTTGTTTGTTCCTTTGATCAAGTTATATTTATGAATTCAGCATTCTTATGGTGGATTGTTTCTTTGATTTCACTTGAAGAATTTACTAATATATTTGCTTTTTCCTGTTTTGGGATTTCAGGCTGTGTCTTTGAGTTTGATTTGCAATGGGAACTGTGGTTGGAACTGTTGAGGACTGCAGGGAGATGTTTGAGGGCAGTGCTCAGACAAGAATCACACCATTTTCTTCAACTAATCAGATTGGAAATCCTGTTGCCTACAAGCTTGTCCGGGTACGGTTACATATTGTGTCCTTTTTCAATGTCACTCTTATAGTTTGAGGGCAGTGCTCAGACAAGTTTCGTTCGTAGCTTCTGTAAATGTCTTCCTAGTTAGAACCGGAAAAGGAAAAAAAGAAAAAAATTCTAATAGCGTCTTTCTTCTCTTGGAATTGAGATATCTATCTGCTATGACTATAGGTTATAGCGTTTCAAAATCTTATTTTTAAGTGGTTTATGGAAATGGTTAGGTTGCAGGAGATGGGAGACTAGTGCCTGCAACCGATGAAGAAATTCTAGAGGTTAACGAGACGGATATGCATATTGCATCAGAGTCTTGTCAGGCTGTTGGCTACCTTCCTGCTGATGAGTTACCTTCTCGGTTGTCCCAGATAGAAAGCTCTGAAGGTTCGTTTTGGAGCTAGCGAAAGCATTGTCTCTAAACATTTCATATAGATGCAAAATCTGATGGAGAGCCAATTTTTTGTGGTTTCCGTAAACAACAGTCATACAGACTTTTTTCTATTAGTGATATAGGGCCAAATATGGTTATGTCTCTGTGGATTTTCCTCGTTGATTCAGTTATGGTTTACTTACTTCTTGACGATTTTTTTTATTCAATTCAGCTATCAGTTCAGGATTATTGGAGTCTGACAATGTGGAACCATATACAGACCAGGTGAATACTCGACTTGAGGCTACTCCCATTACACTAAGAACAGAATTTTACTTTTTCTAGCATTGTAATTTTTCGACAACCACTATTTCTTTTCTCTGATTCTCAATGTTTTAATGTTCGGAATTTCATAAGAACTCTACCAGAGACTAGATGGCCTTACTCCTTAATTTTTAATCCAACTTTGAGTTTTTTCGCAGTATAACGAGGAGATGTTGCAAAAGGTCGAACAGGAAGAGAGGCTTGACATGACACATGGATCTCAGATGCCTTCTACTCCTCCGGATGCCAACATTAAGTGTTCTAACGAAAAAGACTTGTTTGATGAGGATCAAGTCCACTGTGAAGCTTTGCTCCAGGAACCCGTTTCTTTCTCGTCAAATGTTCAGAATGGATGCGATATGAACCAATCTAACACGGTTGAAACATGCTCCAACGCAGAAGCTAGTCCAAAAGAAACTGCATTGCCTGCTGCTGCTCAAAAACCTGATTTTTCTTTAGTTAGAGGCGAGATCTGCTTGGATAATTTACCTATTAAAGCACTGCAAGAAACATTCAGGGCGACTTTTGGCCGTGAGACGACTGTCAAGGACAAGACGTGGCTCAAAAGGAGGATTACAATGGGACTTGTTAATTCCTGTAATGTACCAACAACTAACCTGACAATTGAAGATAACAAGCTAGTTAGAAATCAAGAGAAGTCCAATGATGTGACTGATGCTGTTAGCGAGGATATGGGTGATGATGTAAGAGCTACTAACCTGAAAGATGCACCATCTAGTACTGATCATATGAATGGAAATCCAAAAGCTTCTGGCCATAGTCTCAGTGTCAACCATTATTGCGCATCTGAAGATTTTTCTTGTGAAGAGAGGGCTGCAAAAAGAGTTAGGAAACCTACACGAAGATACATTGAAGAACTTTCAGAAAGTGAAAAACAGCAAAATGACAAGTCAATGATTCCGTCAAAAGATCAAAGGGTATCTGAAAAACCTGAGGTCAGGTCTATTAGCGTCTCCTCAGGGAAGAGAGTTACCGTCACCAGGATGGTATCACTTGCTGGATCTGAAATTGAGGTTCCTTATGTTTCTCATGTCCGGAGAAGCCGTCCAAGAGAGAATATTATGGCTCTTATGGTATTTCTCTTGTTTAGTCATTCTTGTCAATTTGGTACTTAATCTCGTACCTTCCCTTTGAACTGACAATGCTCTGCAATCATCTGGCTTATTCTACATGCCGAATTCTATCTCAAGAAGCACATATGTAAAAAGTAGACTTGATGATCATATTTTGTGTTCATGATCATATTTTGTGTTGCTTTTTGAGTGCGGATGTAATTAAGGATAATGCAACGTTGTGTAGGAATCTCATTCGAGTTGCTTGGAGGCGAAAGCTAGTTCAGGAGAGAGTAACCGGAATTTGAGCCCATCTCAGTTAACCAGTGAGGTTGTGAACCGAGGTTCAATGGTACAGTCTGCTTCTGTCCCGGTCCAAAAAGAAGTAAGAAATACTTATGTTCTTGGTTCTACCCTTCAAAAAGTCTTAGAAATTTCCTTAGTCTCGTCATCCTAATTTCCTACTTTGCAGATAGTAGAGATGGTCTAGAGTTAGATTTTTCATTTACCATTTACCTTATATTTTAGTAAGAATTTAGTGTCCCAGATATGATACATTTTCTCATTGCATTCTTGGTTTTGCAAATGCAGTTTGCTACAAGCCACAACAACAACGAGGAGCATATTCTCTCCGAGGTTGATCAAGACATGGAGCCAGAGCACATGGACTCATCTGGAAATAGCTCGGATGACAACAATAACATTGGCGCGCCAATCATGCAAAGTAGTGGACTTAGAAGGAAGCATCATCGAGCTTGGACTCTGTCCGAGGTTACAAAGTTAGTCGAGGGTGTATCAAAGTATGGAGCCGGGAAGTGGTCTGAAATCAAAAAGCTTTCCTTTTCATCTTATTCATATCGTACCTCTGTAGATCTCAAGGTAATCCAAGTTTTAACCGTCTTTGACATTAACCCTAAAGATCCATGCTTTGTTTATGATCATCGTGTTGTTTTATAGGACAAATGGCGAAATCTTCTGAAAGCAAGCTTTGCTCAGAGTCCCTCAAACAACATGGTACCTCTCTCTGTTTCTCCCTCTCTGTTACTCTCTCTCTCTAGTCTATCTCTTTAGTTGTGAATATGGTGCTGTGTTTCCAGGGAAGTCTCAAGAAGCATGGATCGATGCACATTCCTATGCCGATTCTGTTACGGATAAGGGAGCTCGCGGAGAAGCAATCACTGGTCTCACCAATAAGCAAGGTTATTCTGAGATAGCAACAGAAAGGAAAAGGAAACAACTTCGTTGTAGTTGAGTTTTGTAAAATAGCAACCAAGTAAGGGAGACAAGAACTGTGAGATTAGATACAGTTTCTGTAGGACTTGTAACTTTATGAGGAAGCTTTGTGGGTTATATACGAGACACTATAAAGAAGTCTCTCTTTTTCTGGAATTGCTATGTGAATTGTTCTCTGTAGTATATCCATGGGAAGTCATGATCTCATGCCAAAACCTGCGTTTGATTCGGAACTTGAATTGGGCCTTTTATATTTCGATCCATATTTCTTCTGGCTATGGTTTCTTGACCCAGACTTTACATGTTTCTTTCTCACTTTCTCTAGAACCATCCTTCGATCGCCATCACTCATCAAATTTCTCCCTTTTTCATGCAAAAGCTTTGATTTTTTTGTTCTTCTATGTTGTTTTTCCGCTAAATTTTCCAACACATCGCTCTGTTAGTATCAAGAATCAATGAATCATATGTAAGGCTACGCTGTATAGCTTCGCATGTAATCTGCATTTCGATCTCGTATGATCGCAAGACGTTTGATTGTTATTCGTTTAAAGACAATCGAAGCGAAAGAGGTGAGCTTTCCGTTTGTGTTTTAGATTTGGTTACTTAAAGCGTGTAGATGTTCTGCAGATGATGCATCTCTCTTTTTGCCCCAGTTTAAAGTTTGTGTTTTTAGATTGAGGTTTTATGATATGGCTTTGAACAATCTGTCTGATTATTATTATTTTTTTATTATGTTGAAACTAGTGAAGATATCTCAATCCTTACCTATCTCCAGCAATTCGTAGTTGCAATTCTGAAAGAAAATGGGAATCATCGAAAGGATTAAAGAAATTGAAGCCGAGATGGCTCGGACGCAGAAGAATAAAGCTACAGGTTTCTCTTTATAAGACTCTACATTGATTTTAATATATTTGCTGAAGATAAAAGCAGAAGAAATGGTCAGCTAATGATAGATTGATGGGACAGAGTATCATCTTGGTCAGCTCAAGGCAAAGATTGCAAAGCTCAGAACACAACTGTTAGAGCCTCCAAAAGTAAATGAAACTTCTTATTTATTGGATACCTGTATAAACTTCTTATTTATTGTTACTGTTACTTTTCTATAGCTATATTGTATAAACTTCTGCTCCGGTATCAGATTCTTTATTCTTTCTTCATTACTTCGTTTTCTTTTCTATTTTTGGTGGTAATTGTCTTCCAAATCTATTTAACAGGGTTCAAGTGGAGGTGGAGATGGTTTTGAAGTTACAAAGTATGGTCATGGACGTGTTGCACTTATAGGCTTCCCAAGGTGTATTCTCAAAACACTCTACTCACACGCATCCATGTATATGTATTTGTTTCAACTTTAGAGAACTTCACTTCGGTAGCCTGATTTGGGATCTTGTGGCTGTAATTTTCAGTGTAGGAAAGTCCACGCTTTTGACGATGTTAACTGGCACACATTCTGAAGCTGCCTCATATGAATTTACAACGCTTACATGCATCCCTGGAGTAATACACTACAACGGCACCAAAATTCAGTTGCTTGATCTTCCTGGGATTATTGAAGGTGCTTCAGAGGGAAAGGGACGTGGGAGGCAGGTTTATAACCAATTGATTCTTGTTTATATTATTCCCTAATCCTTTGTACCATTTTCTTCTCAAACGAAAATTCTATGAAATGAACTTAGACTGAAACTCTTTGTTTCTCAGGTTATTGCTGTAGCAAAGTCTTCAGACCTTGTGCTGATGGTTCTTGATGCCTCAAAAGTAAAATTTTTGGTTTTGGCTGTCCATTCGAATTGTTTGGTGGCTTTGTTTTTCTGTTTCACTGTTTCTGTTTTTTTTTGTTACTTAATCTCTATTTGTTCTTCCAAAATCTTTTTTAGAGTGAAGGTCACAGGCAGATACTGACTAAAGAACTTGAAGCAGTGGGTCTACGTTTGAACAAAAGGCCTCCACAGGTAAAGCTCATCTTCATCAATGGTCTCCCTTTCTATCTTCTATACTAAACTCTTAATTTCTTTCACTTGTTTTCTTTCTGTTTTATATCTCAACTCTTGAAACGCCAAATCCTTCCTGTGTTATTCAGCAAAGGCTTGACTTTATACTGCTGCACCAGCTAGACGTGCTAACATTTGTGTTGTTTTGCTTTCTCTGTTTTAGAAAAGATATACTTTAAGAAGAAGAAGACCGGTGGGATTTCTTTCAACACGACAGCACCCTTAACTCGCATTGATGAGAAGCTCAGTTATCAAATTCTGCATGAATACAAGATTCACAATGCTGAGGTACTCAACTCCTTACTCTAGTTTTTTATTCGGTCCAATAATCATTCTTGGCGTCTCTTGTCCGCATGTTAGAAGTAGAACAACTATAAGAAGTTTAACTGGTACTTTTTGCTGAGAGATGTCTAATGAGATTATAAATGATTCTTGCAGGTTCTATTTCGTGAAGATGCTACGGTGGATGACTTTATTGATGTCATCGAAGGCAACCGCAAATATATCAAGTGTGTATATGTCTACAACAAAATAGATGTTGTTGGGATTGATGACGTGGATAGGCTAGCACGGCAGCCAAATTCCATTGTTATTAGCTGCAATCTAAAGGCAAGTTCTATTACATTGGCAAGAATATCAGCTATCTTTCGTGTTTCTGTAGATCTTTAAGGGAGGCAAGTTCTATCCCATCCAGCACAGTTCTAGCTTGGTCATAACTGTCTGATTCCTGTTTAGTCTAAAACATGTGAATAAATATACTGGAACACACTGGTCTAATGGGAAGAAAGATTGTGTTGCTTGGGACAGCTTAACTTAGACAGGCTACTTGCAAGAATGTGGGACGAAATGGGACTGGTAAGAGTTTACTCGAAGCCTCAAGGCCAGCAACCAGATTTCGATGAGCCCTTTGTCCTCTCAGCTGTAAGTATAATACCCTCCATACTTGTCTTGCGGATTTAAACATATGTTTCTCCATGTTTTACTTAACAGTAACAGCTGTTGCGGTTATATTTGATCACGTACTTGTGTCATGCCTCAGGATAGAGGTGGCTGCACAGTTGAAGATTTCTGTAACCACGTCCATAGGACTCTGGTGAAAGATATGAAGTATGCACTGGTCTGGGGCACAAGCGCTAGGCACTACCCTCAACATTGCGGTCTTGCTCATCGTCTTGAGGATGAAGATGTTGTTCAAATCGTCAAGAAAAAGGTACGGAAGCACAAACATTTTTCTGAGCTCTCTCTCATGATGAGAATGCGAACATCAAATGTTGATGCTGTTTGAAATTTCAGGAGAGAGAGGAAGGAGGAAGGGGACGGTTCAAGACACACTCAAACGCACCTGCCAGAATTGCAGATCGAGAGAAAAAAGCTCCACTTAAGCAATAAGACAGTTCATCATGTATTGTGTCAGTTACCATTTCTTTTATAAATTGTGTTATTAGATTTTAAATGAAAGTATCACGTCTGAAGGTTTCCATATTGACAAGAGATATAAAACAGATTGTTTCAGAAATATTAGAAGTAATCGATAAATGACCCAACCAGCCAAACAACAACATAGCAATCTTCAAACTAGTATCATAACAATCATATCTAAAAGATGCACAGAAGTTGCTTCTGTATCTATATTCCGTGTGTGTGTTTCGTGGACCAACAAGCTGTTGAGATGACTTTTGAAACCATCTTAGCCCCTCTGGCTCTTTGCCCACATATGTCTCCCTGTTACTTGGGCCGGTGGATATAGATCAGTGTACTGGTTGCACAATGGATCCGAACCAGCACTGGGCCTTACATTTACATCTCCATTGTAAGACATCGACTGTTTCTTCTCAAAAGGTATTTTGGAACAAGATGATGAAGACCCTGATCGTCTCTGCTTAGCTTTGATAGATTGTGTCAGGCTCATGTAGCTTGGCTTTCTGTAGTACCCACCTTCCTCAAGGAAACTTCCCGAGAAGGGAACTGGGGACTGAGATGTGGACGAAGACTCAGAACTCGTAGTAGATGATGACATGGGAGGAGGTCTGGCAAGAACTCTGGTTGTGAGATTGTTCTTCCTGACCTGAACTGTGTCATGTTCAGACACACTGCTCTCACTTTTCCTTGCATTATCTGATGAGTTTGTAGGACCTTCCATCAAGCGACCTTCCCATGGCCTGTCTGCAACCCATCTGTCAAGCCAATTCCAACCTGGACTACTCTTGCAAGACCCTTGATTCTTTTTAACACTCCCTTGTTTGCTCACCTTGACGTTTGGACTTGGACACGTCCTCGGCTGTCAAAATTGAAAGAAATTTCAATGAACACAGATGCTCTGAGAGGTTAAATCCATTACCATAATGACCAAGAATCCATTTTGAGAGATTAAATCCATTACAAATTCTCTGAACACAAATGCTTTGAGAACACAAATGCTCTGAGAGATTAAATCCATAACCAAAATAAACTCGATGAACAAAAATGTGATTCTTGCTTAGAATATATTACCTGGTGTGTGAGTGCATATACCATAGCTCTCTCCCTCTTGATTGCCCCTTCTTGCCTCATTTGTAGCTTCGTTCTCACTTCATTTACACTTCCGGGGCTATCACACCAACCCTTCTAAACAGACATCAATTACAAAAAAAATATATATATTTGAAATTAGTCTCAAACAAGTCCCATTTCATCTCGATTTCATCATGTCTGATAACCATTTACCTCAGCTTGCTTAGCAGGATCATCTTTTGGTTCAGGTGGTTTCTGCAAGTCCTGTCCCTCTGAAGGATCCCTGTTGCAATGTGCACGTACCCGAGCTTGGACTCGAACAAGAGCTTGCATACACCTTAATGTCACATCTGCTTGTTTCCGTACTTGCCTACCACGGAATATCGCCTGAATCCTCACCACAGCCTTCAAAGCTCTCAGCGCCTGTCTTGCCTGAAAAAATAACACAATCATCAAAACATTGTCCTAAGCTTCAGAGAATTTACATACTTTATAAAACTTTTAAGGATCCATAAGTGTTGATGCTTGACTAAAGTTTCCTACTTTGTAAAAGAAACCAACCACTATGACATAAATAATCGTAATTAGATGTTGTTAAATCCGCCTTAGAGTTTTATACTACTTCTATGTTACTAAATCAGTTCTCTGAATCATAATAGTGAAACCAATAAACAGATCACTAAACCAAAGGAGACTAGCACAAGAGAGTTAAATCAAATATTGAACAGTGAAAAGCAAAGAGCTTGAGATTATTGCAGTTAAAGTCACAAACCAGGAAAGCTCGGAAAGCAGCCTGGATCCGTGTTGCAGCCCATTCTCGTTTAACGAGAAAGAAATCTTTCGGCGGAGCTCTGATAACAGCAGCAACAGCCGCAGTGAAGGAATCGTCGGCAGAGAAAGACGGCGGATCTGAGCCCAGTGAAGGAGTCCCGTAACTACCAGCACGGCTCTTGAAACCCTTTGAGGAAGATATGAAGCTCTCTGATGATGTTCTCCACAGTTTCCATTTCTTCTTGCTGTTCTTATCACCGAACTGAAAGACAAAATGTTTCTTTTTCTTATAAGAAAGAAAACAGAGATTCGAACCAATGAGTGGGGCGAGAGAGAGAGAGTGAGCTTTTCGAGCTTACCTGATCATCAGTGATGGGTTTTTTGTTGCTTATCAGAGATTTTATCCAGTTTCCAGAGCCACCCATTTGCTCAAAACTGAAACCTTTGTTCTTCAAATTTGTGATAAAAGTTGGAGACTTTCACAGATTTTTGGAATCAGATCCGGAGGAGAAAGGTCAGATTCGAGAATTTAAATGTAAAAGTTTCTTAGGAAGAGAGGGAGAAGAAGAAGAAGAAAGGGAGAAAGTTTCGGCGAACTCTGGTGGCCTGAGAATGATGTAGACCAAAGTTTGCAATGTTAAAAGAAGAGAGAAGCATTTGAAATTTGAAATTTTGGGGAAGGAAAAAAACATTTAATTTTTATTCCTTTGAGAACGGTAACATTGAAATTTCGCTTTCGTCGTCATAAATAAATTGACTCATTCGTTGGAAAAATAAATAATTTATTTCTCATGCCATGCGTGGTAATCATCTTCCTATATTCGCTTTAGGTATATATATTAGGGATAATTATGAGATGACCACATAACTTCTTATTTCACGGTTTTCACCCCGTGACTCTTTATAAACAATTAAAAAACCACCATTTGGAATTTTTAATGTAGATTCCAGTGGGTCTTCTCATACTATACTTAGGGGGTGTTATTCAATCATAAATTTAAAATGAATTTTCTAGGTTTTATAATCTTCTAGATTTAAAATTTGATATCAGTTTTATGGATTCATTTGTTTAGATTTTAAAATCTCTGCAATATACATTAAATTTTGATTCTAATAATTTACTCATAAAACTTAACTGGAATTGATTTGAAATGACTTAATATACAAAGATTTTAAAAGTCCTTTAATTTTGAATAACACTAGATTTTTGTGAAATATTTGAAATCTTTATTGAATAACACTAAACTTTAAAATCTCCTAAACATGATTTACAATGAAGAGATCCAATAACATTAGATTTTAAAACATTATTTAGAATCATTAGTTGAATAACAATAGATTATGGTTGGATTTAAATTCTATTAAAAAACCTGATTGAATAACACTCCCTTAATGTTGCGATTTGCGAATCTCTTTTCCTTCTTTTAGCAATATCAATAATCTCCATTTATTTGCTTTACTAATGAATCAAAAAATACAAAGAAGAAAAATACGAATTGCAGCAGTGGGTATTTATTCTATTGCATAATCACCTCAATATCAATTGTACCTGTCTGTTTCTACTGCCAAAGATATGAGTTTTTGGATATCTTCTTTATAAACTTTAAAGAGTTACCTCTAAATGAGACCAAGAATTCTCTAAATCCTCTCTTCTCAGACAACTCAGAATTTTTTTTATTAGGCATCTATGTTCTCTATTTGAGAGAATTCTTGATATCAATCACGAAACGGTACTTGATGTCCTTGTTCACCACCCTTTCAAGAGCCTCGTTAATCTTTTGAATGGGAATCACTTCTATAGTTGGATAAATCTTGTGAGCAGCACAAAAATCTATCATTTCCTGAGTCGTTTTTGTACCCCCGGTTACGCTTCCCGCGAGCATTCTCATACCTGTCCCAAAAAGCCTTAGCTCTAGGCATTTTAAAAACTGATTACATAAGTTTTTGGTAAGATGCTTACCAAGATTAAGATTGACTGGACTGATTTTTATTTCCCTTGGGAAACCAACCAGGACATAAGTTCCAGCGATCTTCAAGAGCGACATGTAAGGATCAAACGGGTGATCACCAGATGCTGTGTCAATGATAAAGTCTAGAGATTTCTCTAGTCCCTGACAAGCAAAATCATAGATTCCCAAGTTAGTTTTTGGTTCCACTCCTTATGATTGATCACTAGAATGAATCACTAGCCTCTCTCTCTACCTTCATCTGGTCATGGTCAGACGAGATAACGAAATTGTCAGCTCCAAGAAGGTTCAAAGCTTCCTCTTTCTTGGAGATGCTGGTGCTAAAAACCGTCACATTAAGTCCAAAAGCCTTGCCAAACTTAACCGCCATGTGGCCAAGCCCACCAAGCCCGATCACCCCTAGAGATTTACCAGGTTGGTTCATACTGTGACGCATCATAGGCGCATAAACCGTGATTCCAGCACAGAGCAATGGTGCAGCTGATTCCAGAGGATAGTCCACAGGTATCTTGTAGCAGTACCTATTGTATTCAATATTTGAACCAAACTCAATACCTAGGAAACTCACAACTGTTAAAAGAATGAAAAATGGCAAATAGAGAGAAGTTGAGTATAACCTCTCATGAACAACAATGTGGCTGGAGTAGCCTCCTTTTGTAACAGAGCCATCATAATCAATGCCATTGAAAGTGAAAACTTGACCTTTCACACAACTGATTTCTTGTCCTTGGTCACAATATTCACACTCCCTGCAGGAGTTAACATACGTTCCAACACCAACATGGTCTCCAACTTTGAATCGATGAACATTAGACCCAACCTTATTCACTATTCCAGCAATCTCATGCCTTGAAGGAGAGGAGAAACAAAAACAAAGGAACACATTAATTCCACTAGTAAGGACTGGAAATGATGATGATTTAAGAGTGAGTAAGATCTTGTTAAGCATACCCAGGAATCAAAGGGTACTTAGAGTCTCCATGTTTGTTCCTTGTCCATATAACATCAGCGTAACACACTCCACAGTGCGTGATATTGAGTGAAACATCGTCGCTCGTAACAGACCTGGATGAAGATTTGTGACTTTTGAGAAAACAAAAAATTGCTCAAAAGGATCACTAAATCAAGGAATCAACCTGCGAGTGAGTGAATGAGGAGAAAGAAGACCAGATGGATCTCTTGCAGCCCAACACAGGCACTCGTCTCCCCCACTCTCCGAAGAACTCATCGACGATTTCACTTCCTCAATTACCTAATCAAGGATCATCGTCAACGTTGGATAAAAAAGAAACATAACGAAATCAAACGAAATTTGGTCTTTTACCGAATAAGAGGAATCTCACGGCTCACGAATGGCGTCTTCTACTTCGCTACCTTCCAACAACAAAAAGAGAAATTGTCGGTGACTAATTTGTTCTGATCGTATCCAAAACAGAGCAATGTATTTTTCCTTTCTTTTTTTTTTTGGTAGTATATATCACTAAAATCGGTGGTGTGGTATTTATATTGGCTCACTAACAAAACGAGAAGCCCGTGACGCCCCAACAAGGTCTACTTACGTGGATATATATTGGAGAGTGTACGTTTGTGAGTTGTATGAACCACAAACAATGTATATATATATATTATATATACACATGATTTGACTAGTAACACTGCAATTCTTTGTTTTTCCTTTTTGCAGTGTTTCTTCGATCTCGGAGGTTGGTGGTGGTTACACTCACCGTTGTTTCTGTCGGCGAATTTACAAACAAAACAAGCCTTATTATGCCCAACAAGGCCCATTACGTCCCTTTGTGGAGTTCTTACAAATATTTTCCGGCAACCCACTTTTTAGTTGGCCACATTATCTACGGAGTGCTTGGTTGGATTTTTGTTTTTAAACTGCAAACTGCAAATTTTTGTAGGATCACGAAATTAAATTATTTCTTATAAAGATATAATAAATTAAAATAGATAAACTATTGTGGGAGTTACAAAAGCAAGAAGAATAAGGGAAACAAAAAAGAATCTATATATTTATTTGTGTAGTGATTTGTTTAGATGTCGCGTTTAAAGCGAGTTTCAGAGTCTTTTGCTTACATGTCAGCTCTAAAATGAATTTTTGCTGCAAAAAGACTGTTTAGCCATATTTTTCAATTTCAATTTCGTGTCATTATCTGATGACGTGTAAAAAAAACTTAAAACAAACCGGTCTAATTTATTATGGTTAAATGCTTAATTTTGTTGTCAAATCAAATCGTTTTTTAAATTATATTAAACCGAAATTTAAAATTAATCTAACAAAAAGTAAAAAAAAAGGAATATATATCTCTAACTAATGGAATATCACTAAAAAAAAAAATCATCTCTAGCTAATAGAATATCGCTAATTATAATATATAGGTTAGTGTTTACGATTTTTTATGTTTATAGGATTTTCGATTTCTTATGATTTAGTATAAATATCAACCATTTTTTTATAAAACCGATATTTAGTCAAATCTAAGAAAAATTGAAAAATCAATAAATGAAATGTCTAATGAAATGATAGTATTTGTGATGTTTAGATTAGAATTTTTGATTTTAAATATTTTAGAATAAATATATACGACTTATCTCTAATTTTTTTACACCCTTCTAAATTATTTTCAAACATTAAAATTTACGGTCATGTCTTTAAATATTAAAATGTAAAGAAATATAACAAACAAATATACTTAACAATAGAAAAAAAACAATTATTAAATTTTCAAACAACCAAATAAAAAAAATATGCGTTGACAAATTCACTAGTAATACTTTGATTTATGGTTTATACAATGCAATTCCACAAACTCAAAAACCTAGAAACAAAAATCAGGTTTTTGTGCTCCTTTATTGGAGTGTTGAGTCGGGTTTCTTAAACCATCGGTTCGAGTTCCGGGTCAGGGTCACATCTGACGGTTAACATTTAACGCATCTCGTTTCGAGTAAAATCTAAAAATCGCAATAGAGCAAACGCCACCGAATCAGGAACCAAGAAGACCGTCCATCTTGATCTAGCGGAGATTCACGCCCTTCCATGGCGGAACAAAACCGAAACTCCTTATCAGGTACACACAATCAACGATCCGATCTCATGGACTTATGGGTTTCTTTGAGTCTCTTTAAAAAGCAAGACTTTGATCAAATTCTATATTCTTGTTTTGTCAATTTCACGATCAAATCACTAGTCTATTATAGGTTTTAATCAGATTTTTTTTCTATCGAGGCAACAGAATAAAGTTTACTCTTATAAATTGTAAATCTAGTCGCTTTTCTCGGGTGTTCTGTATTTGAACGAGTATGAAATGTTCTGTCTTTGTTTCTTTAGATAATATTATTTCCAGTATCTTAGGGAGATCTTACTTGAGTTATAATTGATAACTAATTCCTCTATGCACAGCTCAGCTTTGTAGTCTCTAAATTCAGAGAAGAACACACACTTATCACTGTTTTGTTTGTTGGGGTTTTTAGAGGAGGAGAAGACTATAAAGTCGCCTAATGTGTTAGAACGGGTCAACGAAGAAATAGAGGCAATGAGTCATCATGAAAAGTCGAGGAGTCGCCATCACAAAGAGACTCATGGAACAAGTGACGACATTGATGAGAACACAGCTGTTGATGATGTGAAGGGACCTGGTTTCTTTCAACGCCTCAAAGAAGAGGTCCAAGCCATCTTTGCCTCATTCGTTGGTGCTGTTACTCCAAAGCCTTCTTCAAAGAAGTGAACTTTCATAATATCTTCGTATATATGTTAATGCATAAGAGAGAGATCCCCGACAACTAACTCAATTTCATGTTCAATGTAATAATTTCTAAATTGGTAGTCTTTGACAAATATCTGTATTACGTGTGGATTCCTTGTGAATACCAGCAAAGATAAGAGAGGCTTTTGGAGTTAAAAACAAGAATTGTGTGAAATTGATGAATAGCCTATCTTCGTTAGTTTGAGATTTCGAATTGAGCCTCGGTTCAACTGCTGGTTCATTGAGGTGAAGTTAGTCTGGTTTAGTGGTTTATGAAGAGCTGTGTTTTTGAATCAGAAGGAGCTTGTTAGGGCCTTAGGGGTACGTAGTTTTGCCGGTTTGGGAGAAAACCGAGTTTGTTAGTCATTTGTTTACAGATTCTGTTTCAATTGATCCCTCATAGGTTTTGGATGTGGTGTTATTATCTCTCAAATATAATAGTGGATTTATTAGATCTGTCTCATTTTGAGATCTTCAACTTATAAAGTTCCTTGTGTCAATTGTCATCTTCTTCATCTTCTTCTTCTTTTTCATTATTTTTTTCTGTTTTCCTGAGATCTCTGACTGATCTGAAAGTTTTGGTGGCTTCTTTGATTCGCATGTTCGTGAGGGTTTCTTTAGAACCATGGAAACCATTAAATTCAGACCAAAAATTTCTGTAAAGAAGAAGACCCTATAGAATATCTAAGGACAGTAGGACACTAAGATTGTTTCTTGACAGTTAACACCATCTTGTTGGAGTCAATACACTCAAATAGATCTATTTAGTTGCAAATAGTAAAGAAAACAAAATAATAATAATAATAAGAAGAAGAAGGAAAGAGACTTGAGGATTGGAGAGGATTAGAGAATAGCTGAATAGCACACCAAACGAAACAACTCTTTTGTTTTTAAGAGAGTTGTCTTATACTCTTATGAATGCGATGTGCCTAACTTTTTCCCCATCATTTTGGATATTGAAATACTCCAAGGACAAAATTACAATTGTCACCACTGTTTTGACATTTCTCGATTTTTCATTTCTTCTCTTTGATATTTTGTCTCCCAACTTTGGCATTATTAAGATATTTTACAAGTTCTTAATAGAGTAGCTTCTAATAGTTACTTTCAAGATAAATATCTACATTATAAAATAGAATTTAATTTTGATTAATGGATTGAAATATATATACTTGCCACATAGTGTACTTGATATTTGAACATTCGAGACTATCCAACTGTGAAACTGATATTTTCTTACATCTTTTACAGTTTTACATACTTTACACACTCGAGAACGTGTCAGAATAATGATTATGTTAAACTTGATTAATAGTCACAAAAATACGACGGGACCAAATAATTATATGATTACTAGATTTCTTATGTCCTATTGGGACAAGAATGTACGTAATAGCATACGACACCTGTGTGTTCGTCCGGTGGATATTAAAATTTAAAACGTTTTCTTAAATAGGTAAAATATAGGGATTGCTAGTTTTTTATATATACATAAACACGATATAATCAATCAAACAAATTATTTTCCAATATATAAACTATAAAGTCTTCGAAAGTTCATTGCTCTATCTTTCTCTCTTTAATATTTTGTCGCACTCATACCCGACAGGCCCATATGAAAAATTTTAAACGTAATACAATAATACAACTTAATGTAATAAATTACAACAATTTTGAACTAACAGTAGTAGTATAATATTGCCAAAGTTGCATTCAATAAATATATTTGAATGAAATTTGGCGCATTGATATTGCTTTATCGAAGCCGTGTTGGGTTGCACGTTAAAAGGACCACCACGTTGATTAGTTTTAAATGGACCGGTTAATTCCGTTGTGGGACTCCTCTTTGTGGGTCCTACTCCTTCCCTCCACGTTTCGATTTTTGGCCGTCCGATTTGGGATGAACACAGACGATTCGGGTTGAAAAGTCAATCAAACCAACGGATACGATGAGCTGTTGGATGACTTAATCAATACTAAGGTCTTTGACCACGACATCACAACGGCTAGCTCAAGTCATGTGGCATTTTTTCCACAAATGTTAAGAGTAAGTTTCGGTTTCAATCTGATATCACCGCTTTGGTGTTTTATATATTGATTAATGATTTGATTTTGTTAACGATTCTTGTTTTTAGTTGAGGTAAACTCACACAAAAATAAAGAATTTGAAAGGGAAATATTTCTAAGATGGGGGCCAAGCAGTAATAAAAAGGAAACGACTGCGATAGCAGAGGAGGGTCCATAAGAGTTAGTGAAAATAGTAAAAATGTGGTCAATATCATCGTGTGCAGGAAAAAAAAAAAAGAAAGTACAAAAAACTCGAAAAAGGTCTATAAAATCATGGACGTGGACCGATCCCATGTGACTATCCTTCGAACCAAAGTAAACTTGAAAGCTTTTCTCAGTGAAGAAACTTAAATATTCCATGTTGACATTATTTGCATAAATGAAAGATATAGCGCGCAACACAACAAAGATTGCAAAAGTATAAAGACCGTAAATCTTCTTTTTTTTTTTGGGTCAAGAAAAATACCGTAAATCTATTATAGCTTAAAAATTACGACCATTTTTTTCGTCCTTGTCAGTAGCTTCAAAAAGCCTTTGTTCAAAAATATCAATAAAACAACCTTAAAATTCCAAATCAAAGTTACTCTTATCATCGTATGAATGTTTTACAATATATTTGTAGTATTAAAAATTTAAGATCTAATTAACATGGCAAGTTAACGAGGATTTTTTGTTTTGTTTTGACATTTGTTAAGGAGAATTTAGTCAGATTAACTTTGATCTGGCTAGTGACTGTCTTTTTTACTATTTGTTCACTCATTTTGTACACAAATATGCTTTATTGAAAGTCAACACCAAACAATTTAACGTCTCTATCTACAATCTACCTAGCTATATAATTATATTTAGGACCTTATATTTATATCTAAATGATATAAAAAAAACAAGAAGGATAATCTATAAATATGAAGCGTGTCATTGCACAATTTCAATCTCTATAGATAGCTATAAATATCTGGTTGGTTAGACCACATCGACGTTGTTATTTAACTCATATAAAATCAAATACACATATAGCTTATTTTTTTATAAGTCATATAGTATTGTGTGTGTGTGTGTTTGCTTTTTCTATCACGTCTCTCTTCTTAATTAGTCGTGTATCATTCGAAATATTGATATTACAAAGTTCTCTCATTTCATATATGGACTCCATTTTTGGTTAATAACATAGAAAGATCTGATGATTTATTTAAAAAAAAAAACAAAATAAAGAAGAGGAGACGGTGCGGATTGGTTGAACGACTCCTGAAAGTTTGCTTTCGTCGCAGAAGAGAAAAAGGTTGTGGCAACGTCACCACCATCTCTCCCTAATTTTCTGAACCAGAGATACCCTTTACTTCTCATCAAATCATAGACCTACAATATTCCCTTTTTTCTTTGTCGGGACAAAACAAGAACTTTTTTTTAATAGTATTTTCTTTTTGTTTCCGTAGGAAAGTACGTATTTATATGAGATATATCTTCTAGTTATAGACCTTTACCAAATACTACAAGATCTTTCTAGTTGTAATTTTTATTTTTTTTCCTATTATGTTCCTTCACACATATCACAAGGTTTATGATTTTTTTTAAAGAGTTCATATAGTATTTGATTAAGAATATGTTTATTTTTAAAATAACAGTCTGTTCATATATTTTTAGTTTCATGTTATCGATAATGAGGATGAACTTATAATTCCGCTTAAAAGAAGACAACATAACTTTCTAAAGTAAAATTAATTTGTTTGTAATAACTCATTAATAATTTCGAAGGAATATAATTCATTTAAATGAAAAAATCAAGATATTCTAGAAAGTCGAAACACCCCTTGTTGTTGAGGAAAATTAACAACTTCACCAGTCACACCTTGTCGATACAGGTAAAATCAAAATGATACAAATGATTAAAGGAAAAAACAAATCATTTTGAACGCGTTTAATTACTTCTACTTTTTCCCTTCAATAAATTACAGCTGGCTCATAAATGTCTTGTATTTTCCAGATTTTGTATTGGGTTTTTTTCTTTACTTGCATTAGCTCTCACAAGTTAAAAACCAATCTTCTTGCAATGGCATACGTCTATTGATAATAACGTATCTACCAATTAGACTATTATATTAATTTTTTAAAAATTTAAAATGGTTGTAAATTGAAGTTAATTAGATTATAGTTGAAGAGAGAGAAGACGTAGAAGAAGAAGCAGACCCGAAAGTGCCTGCACTGGTTCAGATTTGCAGTCCTTGATAGAAAAAAAAATAAACGAGTGAAACTCGGACATAAAACCAAATCTCTGTCTTTTCTCTAAAACCCTTTCTCTAATTTTTGTTTTCCTCCATTTTTTTGGGTCTCCTGAGAAAACAAGAGAAAGAAAAAGACAGCAGATAGAGAGAGAGAGAGAGAGAGAGAGAGAGAGAGAGAGAGAGAGAGAGAGAGAGAGAAAAGAGAGAGAGAGAAAGCTGCATTTTTTTTTCGTGTTTGCTTTGTGCTCTTGCTTCTTGATCTACCATTGCCGACAAATCCTAGGCGAAAAATCAGCTTCTTACTGAAATGGGTTTATGTTAGTTGGTCATGTTATCAACAGAATCTATCCATCTGGTGATTCCTGGTTTGTCTCCTGATTCTCTACTTCTCCGACAAATCTCCACTAACCTGTCTGAAATTTCTCTTCGTTCTGGGTTTTCCATTGTGCTTGACTTGTTATTGGGTTCAGGGATCTTATCCCAACTTTTTTATTTTTGCAGCTGTCAATTGCGTTTGCGTGTTCTTCATCACCTCCTGCTTAATCGTTATCTATCTGAATTTAAGAATCATTTTTTGGGATTTCAAAATAGTCTCATGTTTTCTTGGTGTTTTGGTTTCTTGTAGTAAGAAGGCAAATGTATTTGAAATCATTGGTCTTTGGTAATTTTTTTTTCCTTCCCTGGGTTTCGTAAATTCATCATCTTTGATAGATTTGAAAGAATTTTTTTTTCTGAATCGATTCACGCAGGGCTTCAAATTCAAATAAATTGTTTTGATATGGATTCGAGTCTGTTGACCAATTTTGAGTAAATTTTGGATTTTTCTTATCGAAGTAAGTTTTAAAACTTTTTCGTTTTAAAATATGTGACGAG